TACATGGTATAAAAATGAAGAGTTTTGCTATTGTAGTTTTCACACAATAAAACTGTAGTCAGCCCCCTTAAATGTAATACGATAAATTTTTATCTTATTATAATGCGTGGGTTAAATATTAGTATTTTTACCTTTATTTTTTTCTTGTTTTAGTAGAAAATGATATTTTTTCTTTTTTTTTTTAAGTAAACATCTGCTATTTCTTCACATCCTTCAAAAAACCATAACTTTATAGTTAATGAAAAAAAAAATGCGGACACATCAATAACAGCTCAGTTACCAAGGAGTATGTATGATAAGAGCCAATTTTGACCCCCTAAATATCAACATTCTAGAATGACATGCAGATATGTTCGATTGATATTCATTTTGTAGAAGAGATACTTCCAATATATTTATCACATTTGTATGCACTCACTAGCTGTAAATGACATGAGAAATAATGCTAGTTTTGTTATCTAACAAAAAAGCCAACAATATATATTTTTCTTGATTTTTTTTTCTTATTGGAAACATAGAGCGCAGTGTAGAACATACAGGGTGTTTCAGAAAACATGCAACCATTTACTTTCCTCACCATATTGATATGCAAACAGGAACATGTGAAAGTGTTATATAAATTTATGCTAAAAGGCCAAAGTTTTTATCAATATCAAAAATATAGAAAATAATTAACATTTTAATTAATTATGACGTCATATTTGACATCCCTTAGAAAAGCAAGTTCAACATTTTTAATGTTAAATTCAGTAAAAATCAATCATCAGGAATTCTGATACTGCTTAATCTGAGCATGTCACCTGTTCATTTGATTACGGTAATGCATAAAAATAAGGTTTACAGAATGCAGAGAACTTACTAATAGCAATATAAAGTGGAATTTGTATAAATCTGTTCAATTTTGTAGCTAATGGAATAATTAAAACTAACTCAAAGAAAAGGGGGAAATAGAATTAAAAAAATTAGGACACATGAAATCATTTTTAATGTTACTTAAGAGGTATTGTTCCAGAGACTCACATGAAATCCTTTTGTACAATAACTGAATTTGTGAGAAAAACTGAGTTTACAAGTAAAGTGTTGATCAGTTGCTGAAATACGTTTTGAATCTTAAACCATGGATTTGGTAGAACAAATGTTAGCAGGACCATTCAACTCTTTAAAATCCATTAAATTGGGCTCCACACTCACCTCACTTAACACCCCTTGACTTTAATCTATGGGGATATTTAATTGTCAAAGTGTTTACCCCCCCCCCCCCAAAAAAAAAGAACTCAAAAATAATTTGAAAAATGAAACCTAAGAGACTCTTTGCAATAGTAATGTGAACTTTCTTGTATCGGATAGATTTTACCAGCAAAAATGACGCCATTTAGAGCATAATTTTTTAACTAAGTGAAATTTTACAAGTTTCTTTTTCCTTTTGTAATTCATCATTTATTTGCCGTATTAACTTTATGTTAATAAGAATAAATCTTGAAGTTTTGACTTTTATTTAGATATGTTGGTGCATGGTATTGGTCAAAGCGCCAGTAAAATATAATAAATCAAAATGGTTGCATGTTTTCTGAAACACCCTGTACATATTTTTTTCTGTCACTAATTATATGAAGTATTGGATAGAAACATCTTTGGAAAAATTATAAAGCTTCTTCTAGGCTGTGCTCTATAAAAATTACTGGAAGAAAAAACTGTTTGAAAATAGGCAGTTTTATACAGAATATGCTAAAATGGCGGGAAAACGTGTTTTTTATGATGTCATATTTCTAAAATATTGATCAAAATGAAAATGACTAGTAATGGTTGCATTTATAGTAGTACAAATTTAAGCTATATATATAAAGTAACATTAAGATATTCATTTTAAGGGGTCAATTGAGACACTTACCATAAATTGCTCTTTAAATATTTTTGAAGCAATGAGTTGCCAATTTTGTACATATTTTAGGATAAATTCAGGAGTAGTATAAGGCGCCTAGATGGCGATGTCAACTGAGTGCACTTTTTATGCAAATGAGGTCAAAAATGCTGTATTCTGATTGGCTGGGGGGATAGGCGGGTCAAGGGAGTGCAGATTGGGGGGTCTGGGGGGATAGCTGGGTCAAGGGAGTGCAGATTGGGGGTCTGGGGGATAGCCGGGTCAAGGGAGTGCAGCCCCTGGGGGGATAGGTGGGTCAAGAGAGTGCAGATTAGGGGGTCTATGGGGGATAGCCGGGTCAATTCAGTACATACAGCCCCTAAATACGGGGTGTTTACACTGTGTTTACATTATATACTATACGCTGCTACTACGATTTTGTCAGCGACTCAAGAATTTAATTATTACGTCACGCTTCACAGTCTACCCAGCCTAGCCTAATCGGTTCAAACTGATTTCCTCAAAACAATAAAAACCTGGATTTTTTACTGAAAACAATTACAAAAACACACATGGTTTATATACCTTTACTGTAAGGGCCCTGTGCATCAATACGTTTTACCTGCGTTTTTATACCTGTTGCATCACCTGTAAGGACCGTGTGCAAAAAATTAGGGTCGTGTGCAAAAATAGGTTGGACTTATCTTTCTGTAAACTATCTAGTCAGCGAGCTTACCTATGCATTGTGACGTCATAAACTTGGCAGCGACGTCATGTTAGTCCTTCACAAGCCGCGATGGCTTCTTATTTTGACACAATAACACAGACTTTCACAGCGCTTGAGACTTCATGTAATAACAGTATGGTCCTTTGGATTTCAGTACCAAAACTGATTTTCTACCGTTTTTCTTCCAAGAAAGTTCTGAACAGCTGAATCCTGGATCAGCCTAGATGTTATTTCACTGGATTATTTATTGAATATTACTCTACTGAGTTATCTTGTTACATGGTAAATTTTAACAAACTTTTCTTTATACATTTTCTATGAAGGTCATCTTTGTATTTATTCATTATTACTGTGTTATATACCTTATGTTTAGAACATTCATATAAACACTGCCATTGTTTACCCTGAAATACACTAGGACACTAAAATATCCTCAAAATGTTGATAAATCTTTTTTTGCATGAGTTATGATCATATTGTCTCACATTCCTTTTATTGGATCAGTATTCTAAATATTCTTATGAGGAGACTCCTAGCATATCTTATAAAATACTGATACATGCTTTTAAAACAACTAAAGTGATATTCTCAGTTGTTATTTCTAATATTTCTATGAATCTTTAATCACAGTGACCAAAAGAAGGATATGGAGATAATCAATCAGATCATATTATGCCAATTAATCTTTTGTCTCAAATCTTTTTTAATGAAATATACAGAATCTTTTGCCTTATTTGTCACTCATATTTTTACATTCTGGTGCAACAGTGGCCCAATGAAAGTGGGAAAAACTTAGTCTGAGCATCTCTGTAAATCTATAAACATGTGTGCCCCCCCTTTTTTTTAAACCTTCATGTATATACATGTATGTATTTTATTTAGTCAGTGATTTCAAACATCAACATGTAAAATATATTGAGTACTTTAAAAGTGAATATGCATGATTTGTACACCCTGAATATTCTGACATACTAATGGTGACATCAGTTTAAAGAGTAATTAGTTATGTAAAATTCAGTTTATATGAATGTGAATGGGGTATTTATTCTCAGTTCATGTAAGGTATAATTTGCATGTAACCCAGAGTGTATTTAATATTACTATGATGGGTCATTCTGTGATTGAATTTAAATCAGAAAAAATGTTTACTAAATTTTGGTAAAATACATATGGTATCTTTTACATTTCTGTCCTGTTTGTCTGTCAATTGTTGCTTTACTTCCTTTGTAAAATGAGTTTAATTTGTGTATCACTGAATATTGTATGCTTTTTTTTCAGGATCAGCAAAGATGTTGTTTCACTGGATTATTTAATTGGGCATATGATTGGATATTTCTGGTAAGTTTGTCTTTGTTTTGTTTACATTTCCTATGAAGGTCATTTTTGCATTTAACCATGATTATATGGTTTAATTTAATTACTGTGTAATTCTTATGTGATCTGATATCTCTAACATTCATATAAGCACAGTCTTATTTTGTCTAAAATATACTATTTGGAAACTTCATATTGTTAATAAGTCCTTTTGCATAAATTATGATATAATGTCATAATTCATTATGTCTGTTACCCATGGAATTCAGACTTACTAAATTGTGATCTATAAGGAATGTAATAAAAGAAAAAGTAAGAATCTACAAAAGGTTTATCCTTGTTTTGATTCTAAATATGTGGTATATATGGCATACATATATTTTCATTTTCACTTTTGTTTCTTGGTAATGAGCTTTTCAAAAAATGTAGGACTACATGTTGTATATGCTAATATCTTTTTGTATGCTGTACTGACAGGTATTAAACAAAATTGAATATGCTGTTAAGAGAAAGTCTGTTAGTGTCTAAAAATTACACTGATAATCATTTTGTATTTGTGATATTAATACAGTAACTGTGCTTCTTTTGTTATCTAAAGATAACATGATGAACTATTTTCATGAACTTTTTGGCACTGTATTTAAACATGCAATGTTTCATGCAGTTCCTTGTCATATTAACAAAATGATTATATTTTCTACAGTCCTCAACCTGGAAGATATGTTTTATTCCTAACCATCTATAATCCATTCTCTATGAAGTTCAGCCTGTCTGCCCAAATTCCTTTGGAAATACATAGTTAGTCAACCAACATAGAAACAATCAAACTTGAAGGTACGCAGCACAGTTAAGGCTGAAATGGAAAGGCGGGGCTTAATACCACGTGATATTTTTGACATTAACTCCGCCCATTATTCATGAGATTTTTAAAAGTCAGTTTCTAACAGAAAAAAAGAAGCTCACATTGATTAATAGTTATTTAGAAAATCATTTATTTTGTGTGCAGTATTTGTCATCAATATACAATAGAATTTCTAAAATTTCGCTTAGTTTAACGAAAAATATGTTGTCGTATGCAAATCACTCATCATCACTTCGACGCTTGAACGGCCATTGCGAGGAAAGAAGTAAACAGGTGCGACGGTGGAGGTCCATTTCTTACAAATATTACAGTATTGCTGTAGATGGGAAGTCGGAGAAAAATTAAGCAAGTAGGGTAAGGAAACTTGTTCATATATAAGAAGAATACATAAAGTTTAACTTGTTATTTTTACGATAATCATGTGTTGAAAGAGTTGACAGCTGAAACACTGTACAACGCACGTGGTCCTGACTTGGCTGTCGTGGGAAAAAATTGGGGTTGACACGAAACAAAACATATTTGTACCCAATTAAATTATCTTTCTGTGCTAAAATCCAATGATTTAGGTCAGTGTTTAGTTTTAAACTACATTATTTTTGTGATTTTCCCTTCCTAAAAACGACATTGGTAATATCAACATGATTAATGGGGACAAGGTCTCGAGCCGCGAGATAATCGGGAGATGAGACAAGTTGTTTGAGGTTAATAAAAACAAGAATGATAAAAAAAAGAAATTAAACCTTCGGAACATATCTGGCAAGGCATTATTAATAAAGTTAGGTTTGGCATTACTTTTCCAAGATGGATAGGTTTGTTGTATGAACATGTATATATGCATAATATGCTGTGAGTGAGCAAACATACTTCCATTTTGTACATGTAGAAACAAATAGCATTGTCAAACAGTCCCAACCGCATGTTGGGTATTTTTTTCAGTTTAAAATGTCTATGAAGGTTTCTGATGCTTGTGTTATAAAACAAAATATGTACAACATTGTCATTAAAATTTCACATTCACTGTCAGTGTTTGAAACTGGCAGATAATTAGCTATATAGACATGCAGGGCTGATTGCCAATGAAAGTTTTCAGCCCTGCCAAATATTTACTAGCCCGAAAAAAAAATTGTCTTTTATAAGTTTGTTTTATAGCATAATGTAAATGGATCATAATATATTTGATCTCGGACCTATAGGCTGATGAATTCTACACATTTGCTTGACTGGAAATAATATATAAGTTGATTTGAAAAAGTTTTATCAAATATCTTAATATTGATTTATGGTAAAATTTTACATATCCAGCCGAGCGTCAATATGTGCAAATCTGCTAGCCCATGACAAAATTTTGGCATCTCGGGCGATAAAGCGCACGGTTATGTTAAACATGTATATAATTATCTTGATTCTGATTGGGATCACAATTTAAGTTGCCATTCAACTTTCATTTTCAATCCCACAGATGTGGACTTGATTTTACAGCTGACACTGTGATGTACCGTAAACGAAGAGCACTGCATGATTGTGAAAGTTTGAAGAAGAAAACAATGTGCGAAATTAATGGTTGACCGATATGTATAGGTAAATATTTAAGACTGCAGGATTTGGCTATATATAGAGTAAATGCAGCTGTTTTACACATTACAATTTTTCATGTGAAATCGTAGAAAATTGCACCGTGTTTTTCTTCAAATTATTGCTTCAAAATTTCCAACAATGTATCTCAAATTTCCTTAAATCTGATCCATTTTGCATGCAATACCTCTGTGGCACATGATTTACTCATTCATAATGCAAGTTTCACCTGTATATGGTTGATTCATCTTAATTAGTATCCCATTTAAAATTATAATTATAGGTTTATAATTTAATTCTGGTTGTAACGCTGTATTTCATTGGATAAAAAATTATTTTATATTGTATAAAATGGGTTGCCTACGTCACAATGACTTTTGTCAAAATTGAATCAATCCGCCTGTCGTTATGTTCAAATTTTGTACAATTCAAAGTCATTTTTTAGAACAATGATTTTTTTTTCTTACATAAAAAAAATGAAAATTAAATTATAAGCAATGAATTAAATAGTTACCCATTCTACATGTTTTATACGGTATAAACTGGGTTGGCTGGCTTCGCGGTTTATAAAAGGTAAACTGCCCCAACCCAGTTTATACCGTATAAAATGGGTAGCTATTAAATTCATTCCTTAAATAGAATTTTAGATTTTGTTAGGGATGTGAGATTTTATCTGTATACTGGTATATCGGGATTTTTTATTGTGTGATACGGAGACACAAATACCGGTATTAAGGTACTTATCATAAAGTCCAGAAATTATTCATTTATTTGTTCAATGTTTCAATTAAGATTAAGGAACGTAAAAAAAAAATGTTGTATAAGTTGAAAAAGAATTGCATCTCACCGTCCAAACATGACTGATTTTATGGACATGAAAATTTCAATAAAGTGAAAACTTGTTTTCTGGCTTATTTCAAGAGAAATAATGACTATTAGTTGCGTGTAAAAATATCATGATATTATAGCGATATTTTTGGATTACATCCCTAATATTTGTAGACCAATGGTTTCCCGTTGTTGCTTAGAAAAGTATCGCACACATGTGTAGAGTAATAAGTACTGTGAATACAATCATTATCTAGGCTGTAAGGGGGTTATCTCAATTTTTATTCCATACACTCTGAGGCTGAAGGAAAGAAGTATAAGTATATGGAACTCTGCAGTGATGGAGTATTTACAATGAAAAAATAAAAGCCATACACTGTCAGAATAATTTTTTTTATTATGGTCTTATATATATTCTGTAAATTGATCAAAACATTTATTAATATTTGTTTTAATTTAATTGTCTACATATCTTGCTGATGTCATTATGCAGTTTTTTTTTTTTCAAATGCATGCACAAAATCGCTAAAGGTTAATCAATCATAAAATTTTCAGATAATCAGTATTTTAAAGTAAAATACCAAAAATTAAAAAGTTCTTTGTACTTCAGAATGACTCGTACATATCATTACTTAATTACTTTTCAAGATACTGATGTTTATTTTCACACTACATATGTAGTACAGTGCTGCAAATTTTCTATTGTTGTTCATAGCTTATATTTTTTTCACTTAATTTAGAAAGTGTTAGAAGTAATATATCCCCCAATGAATCATAAGGTCTTCTGCATCTTTAAGAAGTCGTTCATCGCCATTTGTTTTTTTAAGATTATTGTGAATTTTGCTTATAGTGGTCTGAAGCTTTGCCAGTGACACCTCATAAGACTGAGCAAGGATCCTGTCATGTGGTCTTCCCTTGAGGAGTCTCCTGTATTTGAAATATTCCTCAGCAACGGGGTCACCGGGTAGAAGGCTCTGTATTTTCCTGGTCATGGACTCTGCATCTGAAGGAATTTGTATGGTAATTAGAATTGGTTTATACACACATATATACATCATCGGAAACCTATGTGTGATCTCGTCTTATCACCTCTGGGCAAGCTAGCTAAAACAACGCTGCAAAAAATGCTAATTTGTTGTTTTTAGTCAACCAATCAGAAAGTTGGAACTCTTCAATTTTGAAAAATATGTTTATTACATAGCTATTATGGTAAATATTTTGACACACGCTTTAAGTTTCATTTAAAACAAATTCAGAAAGTCAATTCGTACAGGTCACTGACATCAATTGCCGTCAGATATTATATAGGAGTACTTATTTCTCACTGCAAAATGTGCTGGTGTGTTTATTTATCAGCTGTCTTAACTACAAATTGAGTTTTTCATGTTTTTGGAAATGCCGAGCATGCATACCTAACGTGAACTGTAATTCTTTGTTTGGCATCACAGGGTCCGACACTCGTCAAAATTTGGTCTCGCCATTCGGGCAACCTTGGTATGAACACAGGTTGCCTGAATGAATTTCAGGTCGTCCAAATAAAATATCAATTGAAACAAAACTTATTGTTTAAAATTTGTTATGATAATTAGTAGAAGTTGTGTTTTTGTATTAAAAAATGTAAACCAGACATTTTTGGAATGTAAAGATGCCTTCTAGTATTTTATCAAACAAAAATATAAGCAGAATCAGACATGCAGAATGCTAAAGTTTGTAGCTTAAAATATTCATTTTCACTTGCCATGAAGGCCTAAATAAAGAGGGTCAAATAACCCTGGTCTGAATTAATCAGGTGTTATATTACAGTGGACACCCAACATGGCTGTCTAGCAGCAGAAAAACGATCATTGTGATCAGAAAGTTGTAGGGGAAATGCAAGATGTTACAATGATGATTATTACTATTTATATTTAAGGTGATTGTTGACTAAGTTGGCATATTTTATATCTCAAATAAAACTTTATTAAAGACTTTCAGTAAAATTGCATCAGCTGATTGATCGAACGCAGATTTGGCAGGAAAAAAAATCTACTCGGCTGGTGTTTTGAAAGTCTTATGAAGTTTAGTTTAAAATATTAAACATCATTATTAGGCCTTAATATTCCCAACTTGTCCCAGGTCGTCATTTGGGCGAACCAGACTGAAAATCAGGTCGTCCGAAATCATTTCAGGGTGGAAATGACGAGGTGACGAGCGCGAATGTCGAACCCTGCATCACAACTCTGTGAAGCAGCCAATTAAATGACCTAGTATATTGAATTACATACGATAATTTTTCTGCCAGTTTGTCCACGAGTGATTTAAGTAGAGACAATGACATATATAATACTAGTACAAGGTCACTGATTGAAATACATGTATAGGCAAAACAACTGCAGGCGACTTGCTTTCAAGATAATCAAATTATGATCTCATGGTTTAAATAAATTGTTTATTTTAATAAGTGATTGGGGATGTAAAATTTTATGAGTGATTGTATAAATCTTGATGTATGAACAAACCTATTGTTTCTTTTTGTTTTAAACTTACCTGTTTTTTTGGTCCTATTTTGTCTGTTTTCTGTCAATCCTGTGAACTCTATGAATATAGTATAAATATTAGAAATTTGTTAAAAAGTCGTTCTTTTTTTGTAATTAGACATTTTTTTTGTTCATGCATACCTGATTTTTCATGTTTCTTGCAGGGGCCAGCTTTATTTGATTTTGACAAGAAGTTTTCTTCTAAATGAAAAAAAGGTAACATTTCATGAAATGTTAGTTCAATCATGTATATTGTAAATTCTGATAAGCAACTATTAACCAAAGTTTCTTTTTAACAAAGATTTTAGTACTTCCATTTACCTGTTTCATTAGCAAACAATTTCCTTTTTGCATTTTTACGTGGTAGTGTAGCTAAAAAGTAAGGATGAATTTCTTATCATTGATGTATGCAAAAGATATACATATATAACATGATACTGAAATGTAGAGTTTGTTTTTGTCTACCAGTACTTGCAGGTTAAAAGTTACAATGTTTTCAACACTTGCCTGATAATTGAGGAATTTCGGAGACAGCAACCCCATCTTTATCACAAATTTTGGCCTCCATATCTGGACAAGTCTTCAAGCAGCTGCCAATGTCCTTTTCTCTTGAGTCTGTAGCCTTATCTGTTTTTCCACCAGCATGTGCCATATCCCCGTTTGGACTTGAATCTACATTTCCAGCGCAATTATTATTTGTATCTGGTTCTTTTTTTTGTTTTAATTTTTATTTTACAAATTCAGATTAATGATATGTTTTTAGGGCCCCTAGATGTGCTCTAAAAAAATCACCCTGTCTGTCTGTACATCTTTTTCTTGAAAAAGGCTTGTAAAGCTAAAAGCAATTCACCTGCATCTAGGTTTTGATTACATGTATTTACATTTAGCTCTCTTGAACAACCAACTATAAAGTGTCATGCAATGGATACAAATACATTTGTCGTAATAATATTTGAAATTTTAAACAAGAAAATTTTAAACAAAATTAGAAAAAATGAAGAAAAGCTGAATATTAGGCAAGTAAACATTTGATTCTATATTTTGTGTAAAATTACTTACGTAGACACTAAGGTTATCATCTTTAGAATATAGCAACACTTATGCCAGCTATTTCTACTTGGCATTTAGATTAGTATATTATTCAAAATCAGAACCAAGTGAAACCACCACAATCTTCCACCACAATCTTCCACCACAATCTTTGTGCGCCCTTGTTTTGAACACCATGTTTGATACCCAAAAGAAAGCCTCATAATTTTAGATTGATAGAGAGCTGTTTTTTATTAACCCAAGAATGTACATGTATTTCAGCATGCCTACAAGTCCAGTCACAATCAATCAGGATCCAAACTAACATTTTTGAGCCAGAGCACTGTGGGGCCCTAATGCATTAGTTATTTAGCTGTTTAATTTGTTTATACTTAAAATACATAAAGTATCAATAAGGTTAAAGTGCATTTTATATGTCCTTAATATCATGAAATATTGGTAAAAGTAGGCTTGTAAAATTCAAATATTTCTTCTAGATTTATCAAGGTCAGTGTAATTTTTTTTTGCAAAATATTGTTGTGATACCTGCTAATGCTGGATTTTCTTCAATTCCAGAATGGATATCTGTCGTGGCACATACACCCTCTCCGTCAAATGAGAGTGCACCATCCACAACCCGGACTCCACTGTTCAGGTCCAAGCTTTGTGAGTCCTTTTCACCTTCAACTCAAATTGCGAGATGATTCATATTATTAGCTCATAATTTAGTAACTGATAGTATGTTTTAAAAGTGAAATTAAATATATGTTTCCAACTTTTCCTCTAGATACAGCAATAATTTTACACAAATTTTGTTTGTTACACCTGCTGATGATGAATATCTTTTGTTTTCAGAATGCATCTCCGTCACAGCTTCTACACCCATGCCATCACATGAACGTTCATCAACAGTGACTCTGGCTCCACTGAACAAGTCCATGCCCTCTGAGTTACATGTACCAGCAACTTCCTCTGAAATTGCAACTGGTTAACATTTTTAGTTCACTTGAGCCATATGCTTAATTTTTTTTTAATTCACCTGAGCTGAAAGCTGAAGTGAACTATTCTGATCACATCTTTTTTCTGTTGTTCATTTATCTATTCACCAAATTGTAAACTTTCAACCAAATTTGCCACAGAAAAGCCGTTGGTATTAAAATTTATTCAAATGAGCAAGGGGAGATAATTAAAATTTCTGAAAATTTTGGTGGGCTACATCTTATGAACATCTTTCTTTTCAAGAACCACTATCCGAAAAAGGTTGTAACTTGTCTGAAAGCACTGCATAATGTAAATTCAAGTTTTTTTTAAATCATGATCCAAGGGTAGGTTGGGGCCTCATGAAGGATAGAAGATTTATATAGGAAATTGTGTGAAGAGATTTTCATGTAGAAAAATGAAAAGCAAAGCCCTATAAAGGGTGGATTTTTTTTTAAGAACAACAGGAACAAGTTGATTGAGGTGAGCATTGTGGCTCATAGGCTTACTGCTATTTAAAATAAGTATGTGGGGTACTGTGTGATGATAAAATTTTAATTTACATTGCCTTTTAAGAATAGAAACTTTCAGATGTTTCTTTTTCAATAAATGCATGATGCAGGGTTAAATGTCATTTTAAACTTAAGCACATGTGTAATACTTTTGAAATACATGAAAAGTGATAATTTAGAAGACATTTTGTATAGTTGCATTAGTTGAATTGTGATCATAAATCATTACATGATAATTTAATCTTTGTAGGACTGTACCTGGAGAATGTTGAACTTTAGAAACAGTGGATTCAGCTTCCAATCCTGTCCTAGTTTGTCCTCCACCATTGCCATCTGAATTAGCATCACCTTCATATGTGAGAACAGAACCTGAAGATACACCGTATGAAAGTTCAAGAGAAAAATGAAGTTTTATAACAGGAAAATTAATTCTGATCATTATTTTATTTTACAGTCAATACCTGATAGTTTTCTGTTTAACACATGGGGCTGGCTTTTATGCTTTTGGGAGTTATCTGCCTTGATTTCTGTTTCTGAAGTTTAAGTGCAACTTTGTTAATATTTAACTTTTGGTTTTATTCTGTTAAATACTGGTGATTTATTGAACTGTTTTGTTTGGTAATAGATAGATCTTAAATTTTAGGTTCTCAGATTGGCATTTTCTTAGGGTAAACTCTACTGACTTGTATATTTATGATGTGGAAGATCAGAAAGGTTTTAAAAGTACCTGTGCCTCTGTGTGATTCTTTTCCAAAACTGTCTGCACTCTCTTTCTTAAAAAGAGCTGAAAGAAATGAACAAGGAATATCCCTATACAAATTGTTGAATACATTATGGAGCATTTACTTCATGTAATTACTTTTTGACTGTTTCCATTTATAGAATCTTTTAATTTTCAAATTTTTTGAATTGATACACTTCATTAATGATTATTATTCTGGTTATTGAAATAGTGGTTTGAGTTGGTAATTACCATCATTCTTTATAACTCTTGCTTGTTCTCCATCAAAGACCTTAATTTTTGTCATAGGCAGTTGGATTTTCTGTAGTTCAAAGTCTGAAATGCATGATCTCCAGGCCCTGGAAGTCCTCTCTTGTTGATCTCCTAATGTTTTTGATCGGAAGTGCATCATGGACGGAAGTGGCTTTTCAGGATGTGATGGCCCATCATGGAAAACAATGCAATCATCTTTCACTGACCACCAGTAGTGTTGCCCTTGTTGGAGATAGTCAGCAATCTGTTCACAGTGAGTCTGGAACAGGTATGGTCGTTTTTTCAGGAGGTCTAATGGAAAAGTTGAATCATTTGTAGGTGGAAGTAGTTTAGCTTGGTGGCTAATAATGGATTCCTGTTGTTTATAGCTGTCCTTTTTGCCACTTTGTTGTTGAGCGTTGTACCTTAACACAGCATTATCAATTACTTTTCCGCATTGTCTATTAGATGTTCGTACTGATATTGATCTTAAATCTCCAAAAGAGCGTTCCTCTTTTTCTGGCACAAGAGACCGAAGACAGAAGAGCCTGTATGTCTGTGGTGCATGCACTGTCATGCTGTGAAAGTGACAGCCATAGAACTTTCTTGCTGTCATTTTTTTTGGATTGGCAATGATGGTTTTACAAAGATAGCTGAAGATAAAACACTGATTTTGTAGTCGCAAGATTTTCTTTGGACTTCGCTCATTTTCATGGCTATAGCAAATTGAAATAATGTCTACAAGTGAGGTACATAAATCAAGAAAGTCTTTTGAGATCTTGTTTTCTGAGTGCTGAATGGAGACGAACTTTGCCAATTTTATTGCATATAAACGAGCGTCTGAGCCTTTGATCTGATTTTTATCACCGATGGTTGACTCGGAAAATTTTTCGAATTCTGATTGTACCTTTTTGTCTGGAATGTGTGAAGGGAGCTCTGTTATAAGGTTTTGGACTAAATTTGTGATATCGTGGAGTGGCTCACAAGCTGGAATTTCATACGTTGACAGTGTGTCTAATTCAATGTGTTCGCCGCAGAGAAGAGCAGGTGGTCTTTGGATCCCATGTAATGTCTTGGCGAGTTCTTCTTGCATTTCCAGTTTTGACAAATTAAATGTGTCAATGCCTCTAGCCTCTAACTCATCAATCAGGTCATCTTTTTTCAAACTTGTGAATGGGGAAATATTTTCATTTGAAAACCTTTCCCAAATAATTCCTTGCTTAAACACTTCAACTCTCTCTCTCAAGGATAGGGTATGGTTTCTCATAGCGCATTCCAGGTTTTGATGCTCTGACACTTTGATACCACAAAGGCAGCTGTAATGACCCCCTCTCTGTTGTCCTGCCTCAAACTGACGGGCGGGTCCATCCCCACTAAATACCCTCACCTTGTCAATAATTTGAAGTCCTTTCAGTACTGTTGGTTTGTGCAAGTCCTTAAGGTCCTCTGCTCTAATATCTGTGTATGTAATTTGATCCCTGTCACTAGATTTAGATTGACCAAGTATGTATAGGTAAGGCTTTTCCACAGCACTCTGCACATCAATAGGTTGTCTCTCTGGGAATCTTTCTTTGTATTCTTCATTAGATATATATACAGCTGGGTCGTACAGGGATGACACCATAAAACTTACATAGCTATGATTCAGAATGTCACTATGATCATGCCAAAACTTAAGATTTCTGGTCTTCTCCACTAATTTAAGGTCACTCAGGGCTTCTTCTATTTTCTCGGGCATAGACATGTCATAAGAGGTGAGCCTCTTTTGAATTTCTTGATTTGACAGATTTTCATAATTTTCATGGTTGTTGCATCTTAAAAAATCTGACTGGTCTTCGTTCATTTGCTTTCTAATATTTTCTAATGGTATTTTCCTGCCATATACCGTCTTTGTTGTTTCTTCAAGTCTACCAGACGTTGTTATTTTGTTTTGTCTATAAATCTTGGGGGCAATCTTTTCTCCAATGTATAAATCTCTCGTTTTGAGTTTTCTTTGAATTGCCTGGTGGAGAAATTTGGTTGGTCGGGGAGTGGGTATTGAAACTCTTTTATATAACTTCATTTTTGCTCTTCTCACTCTTTGTACATAATCTCTCCCACTGAGCCGTTTTTCAATATTAAAATTGGTTGTTTTTACTCCTAAGCTCTTTGCATACTCTAACAGAAATTGGCCTCCATTGGAAGGTATAATGCCACTTTTATTTCTTACATTGAATTTTATTGCGAGCTTTCTCCAACTCACCTTTGATCCCAGTGGAAGGGCTTCAATGTATTTTTGGAATTCAACCTGATCAAAATTGTAATTTTGAAATTTTCCAACATGTTTCTTTTGTTTTTTCTTCCCAGATGATACCTCCTTAACATGTGTCTCGCTTCTCTCCCTTGCAATCTCAGGGGTCTCAAAATAGGTAGCTAATCTATCTCTGTCTCTTTGATTAAAAGAGGTTCCAGAAGAAAGAAAGGAGTTGATTTCTGTTTCATTTGATAGTAAATTTGAAACAATATTACTACTTTTTTGGCTTTCTTTCATTTTTTCTTGATATTTTGTAGCACTTGATTTTTTTTCAGTAAGATTGTAGCATGAAGATACTGCATTTTTCAAACTTGTCGAAAAGTTGCTTTCAAAAATGGGTTCTAATATATGGAGCATTTGTTGAGAAGCATTTGCTGCTCTGTTGGGAGTCAAAGTGTTCATTTCCTTAACTAGCTCTTCTGTCTTGGACATGATGTTTCCAGTTTCTTTGCTTACCGATCTGTGCAGTGATGAAACTGCCGGGCTTGCTACCTCACATTGTACACACCCTTCAATTGAATGTAAATGTTTTTCTCTTTCTTTCAGTGCACACCAAGATTTAAGTGAGTACTGGTGTAGAAACTGCTTTTTTTCTCCATTTGAATTTGCATTTTTCCAATACTTGTTGTTTGTAATGTAGTTTTGCAATCTTGAGATATTCTTGTAAAACACATTATATGGCAAATACATTTTTGGATATTTGTGCATGACACTTTGATAGAATTCATACCGTTTTGGGTATGTTACCAGATTGCTAAAATTTTTCAGGGAAGATGATAGTGTAGATGCTGCTGACATGGTCTGATTTTCGTTCTCCCACCATTGAATTGACTGAGAATCTTTGGAACATCTTGCTATTATCACTTTAGCAAAGTTGCAGTAATTCATTTTGATGAAGAAAGTTAATTATTTCATTATTTGTACCTTACCATTTTCAAGGTTGAACAAATGACGCCATGATGCATTCTCTAACAAAAAGTTTTTTTAGTAATTTTTTTTAAAAAAAAATATTTTCAGTATTTGTTGATTTTTTTTGTATTTTTAGACAACACTATTTTATTTTTTAAGCCCAAAAATTGCATTGTTTATTGTTTTTAAAAATATTTCTTAAATTTTAATCAGAAGCCTAATTTTCCTTTTTAAGATAAAGATTTTGATTTAAAAAATCACCGAACCGCATTAAAATCATGTATGCTGAACTTTGATGTTGGATACTTTTATTGAATCAGGGTTTGTTTCTGTTTGATTTTGGTTTAGAGGCTTTTTTGATAATTCAATTTATTTTAAATTTTCTGTTTGTTAAATGGATTTAAATTTCTTTGAATTGTATTAAATGTTCTGTTATGCAGTTATTTTTCCAGTAATTAATTTTTATTTGTGAAAACGTCTTTTTTAAGTATTTCAGGAAATGCAGGGGGGGGGTACCAGTGTGAAGAGGACGTCTTAGCATTGTCCATCTGCAATTACTTTACCTGATCTTCACTTGACCAGATTCCTGTGAGAAAGGATGTAAAATATGAAAAATAAAAAAGATTGATGAAAATTTTATTTCTTTTATTCCTCATTGTTCAAGACATGTTATAACTCCAGTGTGAAGGAAATGTGTATAATAAAGTCTGTTGTAGGGCTTGTTTACGTCAGCTAGCACCAACTGCAAATAGCTCAGCGATCCGTGCGTAACTGAAAGAGAAGATATTTGCTTGAATTAAAGATTTTAATGATTTATTTCTCATGATGAAAGGGAAAAACTACAAAACAGACGGAAAAAGCTTATTTGTTTTCCTCGCTAAGAAGTGAAGTTATGGCCCTTGTCTGTTTATTATCTCCCTTTAATCACGATCATTGATGCGTTTTATTTTGGACTGATGCGGGATGGAAACGATGTAGGCAATTTAAAACGCTCTATTGCAAGGGCATAACTAGCACAGAATCTTGTGAAATTTCACAGACATGTTGATAAAGGATTGTAGTTCTTGGAAACTGCTGCGAACCTCGTGAAATATTCTTCTTTGGATGCATAATATTATGTTGATGTTGGTAGTGACCACCAAAAGACATGTTTGCGTGTGTTTCCCGGTGTTTTATGGTATTATATGATGGAAATATTTTAGGTTCGCAGCACTTTTCGTCGTAAGTGTAAGTTTTACTATCGTTTCATTGTAAAAAATAACTGATTGAAAAAGGGTAAGCCCTTGCAATACTTGATTTTATTAATGACCTAATTAGTATGTTATATTTACTTTCATCATGTGATTGATGGGTCACGTGATAAAGATTTACGCTTCCTTTGAAAGAGAAGCCTACAAAGTTGAGAAATAATGGCGAGATAATTTAAATAAAGTATTTCTAAGAGTGTAAACAATTTGAAGTATTTAATATGTTTTTTGTTCTATTTTTTGCCATTATAAGCCATTGGTAACCTTAACTGTGCTGCGTAAAGTTTCAATGAGATATCATTTTAATTTATTTAATTCTGTTTTATTTAAATGTTTATATTTTAAAATGGATAAAAAA